GGCTTGGGAAATGGTCGTGGGCTGATAGAGATGTGTTCATGCAGATTTATTATCATGGCCTTGTAATGTCCCTTATGGCAATAGTGCTTTTATTCTAATTAATACATGATCTATCATTGAAGCAAATGCTTCCCAGTATAATTTTCACTAAAAAATGGAATCTGGTTGCTCTTCTTCCACAGCAGAGTGAATTCAGTGAAATGAACTTCTGGGTTTTGGCTACTAAACCATGCTTTCCTTCCATTCATTCATTGTCATTCAATAAGCATTTTCAGATACTATAAACATTTCTATACTACATCGAGTACACTAAGCTGTGGGCTAATAGGGTTTCTTTCCAGAACATTTTTTTTTTCAACGTTTATTTATTTTTGGGACAGAGAGAGACAGAGCATGAACGGGGGAGGGTCAGAGAGAGAGGGAGACACAGAATCGGAAACAGGCTCCAGGCTCTGAGCCATCAGCCCAGAGCCCGACGCGGGGCTCGAACTCACGGACCGCGAGATCGTGACCTGGCTGAAGTCGGACGCTTAACCGACTGCGCCACCCAGGCGCCCCCAGAACATTTTTATGTGACCAAGGTGATCAGTTTTGCTAGAGAAAAATTTAAGAGACTTCAGGAACAAAGTGTCATTTCAGACAGACAGAGATCCATGAAGTTTGTAAAGACTTTGAAGAGATTGTGGGTCTATAAAACAACTATCCTTGTCAATGGCTCCAGGATATAGTCTAGTATTTAACCTCAGAAGATTTCAAAAAATTCTCTTATGAACTAACTAGAATTCTTCTCCTAAGATCCATTTATGCCTTCCACCCCATCTTTGCATCTATGGAATAGCCCATTCCTTAATGATAACCCTTCACTTCATTAATAGAGTTCATGAAATCCTTTCTGTAGTTAAGACAGTTACTAAGTCACTTTTTAGCCTTTTTCCTTCTCCAGGCTGTCATCTAATTATGTCAACCTTTATACCATAATTAAACTAAAGAGTGCTGCAGAAGAATTGAATTTAATACTTCCTAATCAAACCAGGGGCCTGGAGAACAGAACTGTGGTTAGTGGCCTAGTAAAGCTAAAGATGTTTCATGGTCTGTGCTGTTCTGTGCTTTAAGCCTCCATCTGGCAGAGGCTTGGAGGAAGCAAACAAAAAAATCATTACAACCATTGTCTTTCAGTGGGGCTTGACCCATGGGTGAACTTGAAGTACCTGAAACAGGTATGAATCATGCCACCTTGATTAAAAAAAAAAAATCCCAAACACAGGAATACTCAGTGTGTTTACAGTAACATCCTAGAAGATCAGCTTCCGGATCTAGCAAGTTTGAATCTTAGATCTCCCAGTGTAAAGTACAGAACAACCTTAGAATTACCAGCTTTAAGTGATCTCATATGTACCTCACTATCACGTGTCTTCTGTCCTCTGCTGCGTTTAGGGGAGAGAGTGATGGCCCAGTGGTTCTATTGAGCCCACGTATGTGCTTGCCGTGAGTATCTCTTTAGCCATAACTGTTCCTTTATTACCTTGAAAATGGCTGATAGATTTTAATATATTCTCTACATATTTTAGATAAAATATATGTTCCAAATAACTTCATGTCCATATGCCCTCTTTTACTTTTTTTTTTTTTTACTTTCTCTTCTGACTGCTATCTATACCTTAACACGAGGAGCAAGGAAGTTGGGAAATTACTCTGGTGGTCCCCCACTTTCCTTCCTCCTAACCTGAACATAAAGCTGACCTGCAATTTGAATCAGAAGCTATGTGATTTCTCAGTCTCAGCTCCTTCCAGGGCTGCTGTCTCCAACTGGATGTCCTCGGGCCAAAACTAGGGTGCACCAAGGGAGATGCCCAGGGTGCAACATTTAGAGAAGCACTTACTCTGAGTTCTCCAAGTGCTGGCTCTGAGTGCCTCCTGGCCTGACCCTCCTAAGTCATTCCCAGTGAGATATGCAGTAGGCGTATAGACATGCTAGGATGTGGTTGGAGGACAGTTGTACTCTTTAGCTGCAATCCTAGAATAGTTTGACCCACATAGACATGGAATAAGAATTCTGTGGACCCCGGGGCGGGGAGGGGGGGGATCTTGGGCATTAACTTTCTGTGGCTAAATCAAGATCTCTCTTCTGGTCCCTCTGAAACTTTTTTTCACCTCTCTTGACTTTGTGCTGATTTTATAGGCTGAATTGCATTCCCCCAAAATTGATAAGTTGAAGTACTAATCCAAGTACATCAGAATGTAACTGTATTTGGATGTAGGGACTTTAAAGTGTTAATTAAGAGTAAATGAGGTCATCTGGTGGGCCCTAATGCAATAAATTGGGTGTGCTTATCAGAAGGGGTAGAGGGGCACCTGGGTGGCTCAGTCAGTTAAGTGTCCAACTTCAGCTCAGGTCATGATCTCGTGGTTTGTGGGTTCAAGCCCTGCATCCGGCTCTGTGCTGATAGAGCCTGGAGCGTGCTTCAGATTCTGTGTCCCCCTCTCTGTCTGCCCCTCCCCCCTTTATGTTCTGTCTCTGTCTCAAAAATAAATAAACATTAAAAATTAAAAAAAAAAAAAAGAAGAGGTAGAGACCCAGGGAGGTATGTGGGGTAACAAGAAGCTGGCCATCTTGCAAGCCAAGGAGAGTGGCCTCAGGAGACACCAAACCTTTCAACACCTGAATCTCAGACTTCCAGCTTCCAGCAGTATAAGAAAATAAATTTCTGTTGTTTAAGCTACCCAGTCTGTGGTATTTTGCTATGGTAGCCCAAGTAAGCAAATACAGCTGATCATATGGCCAGTGCAAAGCCAGGAAAGTCCTAGTGTAGGAAAACTTTCCCTTTTTAGCTCTGAATATGACCTTCTGTGGCCCTCATATGGACGATTAGTTTTTACCATTTTATTCTTTACTCTAATGTTAAAGAAGCTATTCTTGGATTAAGAAATCCCTTTGTGAGTTATAATTAGGATTGGAGGCCAAGCCAAGAAAGACCTCTAGAGGCTTCTCTTTGCTCTAGGAATAGGATTGTAAATTTTAATGGATTGTCTCAATGTTCTCTGAGTTCGAGGCCATGCCCAGTCCCTGCTGTTATTACCTTCAGTGGAAAAAAAATCGACTAGATGTCATTCTTGAATGATGGACTCTGCCTTCCTTCCAAACAAAACCTGGCTAATTTCCATAATGTACATTTAATGATCAGGACCATTTATTTGTGTCCCTAGTTCTTTTTCATTTAATTTAAGGTTAAGTCACATCTATTCTCTTCACTCTTAAACACACATGAGTGTGTATGCACCCACAATATGTAGAAACTCCAATAACAATAAATTAAAATACATCAGAAAAGAGGTTCCTGGGTGGCTCAGTTGGTTAAGCATCCAACTTTAGCTCAGGTCATGATCTCACAGTTCGTGAGTTTGAGCCCTGTGTCGCGCTCTGTGCCGACAGCTCGGAGCCTGAAGCCAGCTTCAGATTCTGTGTCTTCCTCTCTCTCTGCCCTTCCCCTGCTCATGCTTTGACTCTCTCTCACATGCACACAAATAAACATTAATAAAATAAAATAAAATAAAATAAAATAAAATAAAATAAAATAAAAGTAAAATAAAATAAAATACTTAAGAATGGACCAAAAGAACACTCCCCCCTCCCCCCAGGGGACAAATTATCTGTCATGAATTTGGTGGTGTCAAAAGTCAGTCCTAGGACTAATTCCACCGCCAGTGGGCTCGAGTATTCGTGTCTACAAAGGGAAGATATAGTACCAGACCATCTCTAATTCTGTTATGTAAAGATTCTATAACAAGAAATAAAGGAAAAATAATTGGAAAACGAAGGTGATATGTTCAAATCTTAACAGGCTGGACACATTATCTGAACCTCCACTCTTTCCTAGCCATGTCAAAACATTCAAAGTATACCTCTCTCAGATCTAGTAACCATATCCCAGCCATACATTTAGGCAAGTTATATTCATTCAGCATTTGAAATTTATTCCCGAGGCCAACATTTTCAAACCTGATGCCTATAGGCCACGATGGGGGCAAGGCAGGGGCAGTCGTGAGCTAAAGAGCAGAGCACGTAGACTGTCTAAAGGGTTCACCCAGGATTCTGCCCTGTGTATTACCGACATGTAAGGTGAGGGGATCCACAGTTGGTAGATCTTCAGATTTTCAGAAGCCAGATATCAGAAGCCAGACATACAAATTTTAATATCACGTTTCATAACCTTAAAGATTTTTAAGTTTATGTATTTATTTTGAGAAAGGGAGCAAGCGGGGTAGGGGCAGAGAGAATCCTAAGCAGGCTCTGCACTGTCAGCATAGAGCCAGACACAGGGCTCGAACCCACGACCATGAGATCATGACCTGAGCTGAAACCAAGAGTCAGACATCCAGCCGACCAAGCCACCCAGGCACCCATTTCATAACCTTAGAATGTTGGCAACCATAATTTTTTTCTGGAAACTTTGTAAGGTAAATAAACATGTCTGCCATAATTTTTTAATATCCCTATAGTTCTCAATGTAGGAGCTATGCAAACATTCCCTGACATGGGATTCACATTGTCTGTTCCCCCAGGGTGCGGCAGGTTCTCATGGCTAATTACGTGTTTTGTCTTACTGCTTTCGACTAGCCCTACAATTTCATTTGAGCAGAGGGTTGTTTCCATAAATATATGTGAAGTATTTAAAACAGTACTGGGCACATAACAAGCACTATTTAAGTGTTAGCTACTGTTACTAGTGAAGAGTTGGTCAGATGTATTCTGTAGGAATCATGAGTTACTGCCCTAATTATTCTACCATGTTGTTCTGGAGGAAGGCCATACTTGAATTTCATGAAATTCAAAAGCACTTTAAAACATCTTTAAAGTTTTTGTGATATTCAGAAATAGCTACACTTCATGCAAGGCTTTAATGTGCAAAAAACCGAAGAGAGTCTTAGCTAGTTTGCAACTTCTATTTTGCTATTTTTGCTTTTAGATTACAAAAAAATTTGCAATTTCATTTTTTATCTAGGTTACTCACAGCTGGGCTGACTTGGGGGATTTTACCTTTGGATCGGAGCATACAAATACTTCCATCAATATTCTATTTCCCAAAGGTATGCTAATTCTCATGAATAATCACAATAATCATGGCAAGTTTTTAGAGATTATAACTGAATCATTCCTCTGCAATTGCTGTAAAGAAAGCCTTGTAGTAGAAGCTACTTAACTTGAAGATTCTCTCACATTTTAGCCCCTGACCTACATTTCTAGGAGTGAGGAGTCTTTTGCTTTGTTCCTTTGCTTACATCACAACCTGTGCCCAGGACGCCTCTCATCTCCCTTTGATTGTCAAAATCATTTCCATCTTTAAATCATGGTTTCCAATTCTGCCTCCTCCAGGTAACATTTCTTGCTCCTTCGATATTGTAATCCTATGCCAGCCCTGACATTTTCTTCCTTTGAGACCTCTAAGCTGTTTTTTCTTGTGTCATTGAAGGTACTCACCCAGTTTTTATTATGCATGTCTATGTGCCTTGTATAGCTCCCTATACTCGATTTTCTGCTTTGTGGGAGTAAGATTATTGACATTGGTCATGCAATAGTACACATCTAATTAAATCAGGAATGTCCCTCTACTTTGGCTTAGAGGTATTGATACTTGGTTCCTTTCTTCCTCTCAGATGTTCAGTCCTTCTATGGCCAGTGGTTCTAATAGCAACTCCTAAATTTTCCTTAAATCAGTTGAGCTGAACACCCAAGTGGTATTGGGGTGTGCCATTTTCTCCTAATTTGTTCTTATAGATAGTACCATTTCTTGGCTCTATTACATTGTATAATCTCAGTGATATACTGAGTTATTGGTTATCTTAGAATGGTTCATTGATTCCTTTGGGGATTGGTGTAAATTTAGAATATGAAGCCTTTCATTGTTTAACAGTGTCATAATTTCCCACAGAAAGCTGTGTAAACCTTGATATTCACTTTGCTTATACATTTGGGAGAAACTTTATAGAGAGATGTGATCACAAAGTAGCTTTCAAAGGCTGACTCTCCTGGTGTCCGCTGAGGGCTCACAGATGACATGTGAGGACAAACATCTCCAAAGCCAGCATGAATGTCAAGGTAGCTGGGTCTTGTCTTTCCCACAGCTAAGGTGCTCAGACATTTTGTTTGTCTGGAATAGAACCCAATATTGCCTCTTGTCCTTATGTGACTATTAATAGTGACCCCTTGTACCCACCCCCCCCCAAAGTGTGTCAGCTGATATAATACATTATATGGTCCACCTATTCATAATAGCCCTCTTATTGTCTTTGAAATGCCAGTTAGTACAGTATTGAATTATTGAATACCTGTGAGTTGAGAGGCAGTCAAAAACTAAACTGGAAAAAAGAGAAGATTTCCTCCTTAGAGCTGGGACTTCTTTCTTCCTGAGTTCAGTACATTCAATAAGATCCTGCAAGCAGAGTAAGTTCTTATCTCCAGAAGGTGTCCCTGATGTGTCTCCATGGCTTTATGGCAGTGTGTGTGTGTGTGTGTGTGTGTGTGTGTGTGTGTGTGTGATGGGTGGGTGATGGATGCAGAGGTGGATGCTATTACTGGTAATATTAATGCTCTTTCATAAGGGAGTTGGCACAGTTAATGAGCATGGGAGCCAAGGAATCCAAATCTTTGGTAGCCAGCGTTGGTGACAGACATCTTCAGAAATTTTTGCCTCCTGGCAGATCCCTGAACTCAGCTAGGGGGACTTTTAGGTGAATCTTCTAGTTGGCTTTGTTCAGATTACTTTATAAACATCAGGATTCACATACCCACTTTTTTCTCCCCTGGACTCTGTATCATAATATTTTAAACTCACTTGTTTTTCCAATGCCCTTGTGAGCTAGAACCTCATTTTTGAAATTCGGAGGTTATGTTCTTTCTCTTGGCCATGCAATGACAGTGTTTTTTCAGTTAGATTTGGAGACAAGATTCAAGATACATCTGAAAAGAGACAGAGAAGTTATGATAAAAGAAAAACTATATGTCAGAAGACTTACTTTGGAGTTTGACTGTAAAAGTTCCTAAGTCAAGATCCTTGTCTCACATTTCTTAGTCTTTTATTCCTTACTTCCATCTCTGCGTCCGTTCACCCAGCAGATTCTAAACCATGTTACCTGAACACAAATTGAACTAATTCATCAGCTTAGGAACACGATAACCTGGATATGATTGGGGGCTAATGGAAACATTATGGAAAAGTTAAAGTCATCAATGACATTTCTTAAATTCTCTGAAGACACTCTGCAGTGCAGTGACTAAAAGCATGAGCCCCGGGGGTGCCTGGGTGGCTCTGTTGGATAAGCATCTGACTCTAGGTTTTGGCTCAGGTCATGTACTCACAGTTTGTGAGATTGAGCCGACATCGGGCTCTGCGCTGACAATGAGGAGCCTACTTGAGATTCTCTCTCTCTCTCTCTCTCTCTCTCTCTCTCTCTCTCTCTCTGTTCTCCCATCTCCCACTCACGCATGTGCTCTCTCTCCCTCAAAATAAATAAATAAAATTAAAAAAACCACATGAACCCTGTAGCTGGGCTGCAGGGGGTGAAGTTCCTATCCCCACACTTATTAGCTGTGTGTTCCATACCTATGGTCTCTAAATCTCAGGTCCCCATCTATAAAACAGAGATGGTGATGTCAGTATTTAGTTTACAGGGTTTTTAGGGATTGCATGTAAAAGTGCATGCTGAGATCTTAGTATTGTGTGTGGCACCTATGAGTGACCAGGTATTTGTATGAATCCTGTGTTTCTGGTGCTTTGACATCTGGAGCCTTATGGATCCTGGAGAGATTACTCCTCCCAGGACTAGCCAATTCCTAAAGATAATACATGACTCACCTGAGAGGGTGCCTTTTCTACATGGCAACTAACTAATTCAGAAACCAAGCCCTCACCTCTCCTCTGTTGGGTTCTCACACTCAGGACTACTATTCCTCTGCCTTAATTATCCCAGGGATGGGGATCAGACAATTGAGGACAACCTTTAAGCCCCACAGCTCACTGAAATTATTCAAACCGGTCAGCCCTAACCCTGATTTCCCTGGCTCACCCATTCCTTCCTATGAAAACCGCAAGAAAGGCTCTTGCCCATTATTCCCTCTGCTTCCCAGCTGACCCTGGTGCTTCCCTTTGTGACATCTATCAGAGTGGTGTGGCTGCTCCTCTTGGGAACCGTGAGCAACAAACCATCTTTTCTTTTCTTTCTTTTTTTTTTTTTTAAATATGAAATTTATTGTCAAATTGGTTTCCATACAACACCCAGTTCTCATCCCTACAGGTGCCCTCCTCAATGCCCATCTTTTCAATAGAAATCATCTCCTTGCCTGTTGGCTGTCCTATACCTGAATAATAATAAAATTGACATTTTAGGACCATACTTAAACATTATTGTTGTTGTTGTTATTATTATTATTATTATATGCTAATAGGGAGGACTTAACACCAATTTGTTACCCTATAGATAAATGTCTTCATATAGGTAATTTGTCAAGGGAGGAAAAAAAAAATGTTGGATTTTTGCTTAGAAAACCAGAGGACTTTGAAACAAGGAGATTTTAATTCCAGATTTAAGTCTGTCACCCAATTTTATTTGAGAAAGTATCACAGATTTTGTGTCACAGATTGTTTGCTTTTAAAATAAAAAAAATAGGTATGCCTGGGTGGCTCAGTTGGTTAACTGTCTGACTCTTATTGATTTTGGCTCAGGTCATGATCTTACAGTTGTGGGTTTGAGCCCTGCGTTGGGCTCCATGCTGAGTGTTTGAGCCTGCTTGTGATTCTCTCTCTCTCTGCCCCTCCTCTTCTCACATGTGCTCACACATGCACTCACTGTCTCAAAATAAACATTTAATAAAATAGACAAAATAATACAATCAGATTGATAAAAGCATCATTATAAAAGGATACAATGAGAATGGCTAGGGAAAGGTTTTGAAAACACAAGATGGGAAATATTATGTTACATAGGGAAATCAGTGACCCAATTTGACAAAGAATAAAGAGCCATCCCATTTCCATTGATAAAGTAATGTTGTATATCATCTCAATCATTTATGCAAGAAAAATAATGAGGAAAAGCTATTATGGAGGCGACATCTAGGGAAATACATGCTAAACTATAAATGAACAATGCCTGTGATGAATTATGCATGATTTTAAATTAGTTAATGAAATAGATTCATATTAAATGATAATGAAGGATTTCTGGTTCTGGTTTTGAATTCCATACTGAAGTAAATCACTGTGCTAGAATTTCTCCTGACAGCCATGGCTGTGTAAATCTCTCCATGTGGCCTGTTCAGTGTGTCCTCCATAATGAGGAAGAAGGACATTGGAAGTGTTGACACGCTGGAACATGGGAGTGAGGCTATGGGTGGGTAACGGATTGAAATGTGGAGAAAGAGCCTAGCATGTAGGCCCTTGCTTAGAATGGGTATTTTCTGCCAAGTAATTTACAGCTCAGTCTCCACATGGCCTTAGAGTGGGGCTCTGTTTTCTCCTTAAAGGATCTGACCTCTTCTAGCCAATTACCCCTGTGGTCTATCTTTCTTGATGGTTCTTTAGCTTCTAGCATTTTGTTTTGGATGGTTCCTCTTTTCCTTGCTTTGTGGCCTGTTAGCTCAGCTGGTGGCAATGAGGCAATCACTCAGTCCTGGAGGCAGCAGGGAGGGTCTTTGGTCATTTGGCAATTTGTTTTCCATGGCTGGAGCCACCTTTCAAGCTTAGTTGCAAGAATAGTGGACTTTTTTTCTTTTTTTGAATACCTACTAAATATCACGAGCTTCATATGCATTCTCTGACTGAATCCCTGTAATTCTCCTTTGAGCTGAGTGTTTTATAGTCACATTTTTCTAGTCAAGAGATCTGGACTCATGGAGGACAAGTGGTTTGGCCAAGGTGTCATACCTAGTAAATGACACAGCTAGAAAATGAGATCAGAGCTATCTCACTTCAACCCCTGTGCTCTTATCCGGTGATTACTTCTCAAATGTTCACCTGGTCATAGGAGAACATGGACAGGAATAGAACTCTACGCATTAGAAACACTGAGCACTAGAAAAACTCCAAGTATCT